CCACCCCACCCCCACCGCCCCCGCAAAAACCACCCAGCCACCTCTGGCTGCACACAGCAAGTGACAGGCTTCCCATTTTACTGACGCCCCGAAAGATCAAATGACCTAAGGTGGGGGGGCCGAAGTCACAGCTTACCTTTTCAGACATCTGTTTCATCCTTTCCTGCCAAAAGGCATTATCCTCTTTCAGATTCTCTACGTACTTGTCTCTCTCCAGCTGCATATGCTTGAGGGTGTCTTTCAGCTGCAAGAACGGGCACAGAGGTTAGCAGGGGCAGCCACGGGGCCTCACCAGCTCCTGCTTGCCTGCGATCATCCTGCTTCCACACCCCTCGCCCTGCAAGGCCTCACCTGCCCCACACGTGTCTCCAGCCGTGCCCGTTCTTCCAGGGCCTGCTGTAACTGTTGGTTGCTGTCGGGGGGTTTAGACCCACTAGAAAACTGGAGAGTAGAAAACGAGAAGGTTAGCGTTGGGAAACCGGGCTGCTCTATGCAGGTTCCTGCAAACGGGTGTGCGCTAGGATAACGTGCATCCACATCGATGAAGAGGTCCACCCTCACGTCATTAGTACTACGTCCGCAAGCCTCATGTTTACTGAATATTCGTTGTAAGTGGCCCTCTGCCTCCCAGGCCCATCAACCTGGTGTTCATCCTTCCAGATCCTTTCTGGCTATAATGATTAAGGCTACAGAGTGGTGCTTGTCCCAGAGATGGGGTGTTCAGGTCACAGAGGACAGGCATCCATCAACTCCGGAGCAAGCATAAGCCCTCACTTTTTCTATCTCCAGCAGGCCATTTGTTAGACTGCCCATCACAGGAATGGGCACAAAGGAGGCATTCCAGTCATACTGGGTGGATGGATGGGTGGATGGATGGATACAGAGCTCTGTATGCTGCCCAGGCCAGGCCGAATCTGCAGACTCATGTTTTGCTCTGGAAGACTGACTGTAAGAGGAGCCCTGACAATTCAGATCCCATCCAGAAGAAAGCAATCAGGAGGGTGACAGACCGTGGGAGAAACAGTTGGGGCTGTTTCGGTAGGAAAAGATCTTAGGGAGGACAAGGAACCTACGCACACTCCTTCTCAGAGTATCTGAGGGTCTGTCTTGGGCAAGAGGCAAGATTTTTCCTGTGCTGATCTGGAAGGAAGAGCCTTGCCGAAGGAAGTGACATGAAGGCTGAGTGTTACTCAGTGTGAAGAAGCACTGACAAGGGGAAGCTCTCTGACCCAGGCACCCTGACGACCTGGTGGCCCGGCCTCCGAGAGGAAGCAGACAGATGCATGAGCTAGAACTGCCTTGTTATGTGTCATGACTCGGAACTATCATCTATACGACAATGGTTTTCAACCGGGGCGCTTTAAAAAAAAGCAAAATAAAAAAGCCCCATCCCTGAGATTCTAATTCCACAGGTCTGGGCGGGGCCCGATTTATAGATGCTTTATCAATGTCTGCAGCAGGATTCTATGGCAGGAGCAGAACGAGAATGCAAATCTTCCAGCTCCTGGCTGGAGACGGCGGCCCCAGATGGATGGGGCCCCAACTCCCTGGGACTCTGACCTTACCTGCTGCAACAGGAGCTCCGACATCTCCAGCTTCTTCTCCAGCTCCTGCACCCCAAGCTGCAGGGCCTCCTTCTCTTTCATACAGACACGCAGCCTCTCTTCCAGCTCCGAGTTATGCTCCTTTAGGTCCTCGTTGTCTTTGCTGTAGCCACGGGCAGCAAAGAAAGGTACGAGTAAAGAACAGAAAAGAGCGCTCTGGTGATCCACCCCACCCTCACCACAGAGCCACAGAACAGTGGCGTCGGAAGGGACCCGGGGATCAGGAGTCACAAGTGGCAGGCCAGAGAGAAGACAGGAGCGGCCTGAGGCCACGGCCTGTGTTGATTGCACAGCTGGGCCCAGAGCCTGGCTCTGCATCTGTCCTAA